TGTGGCCAGAAAGTCAAGCGTGGCCAGGGGGGCCCATTGTCTGTCCATCGCCACACTCTGCCATGTGCCACTTTCAGGTTTCCTCACACTGCTGGTGGGTTCCATTTTGTCATAGGGTGCTGGCAGATTACGGGCCTCCCATTGCTGCTGCCAGGCCCGTAATCTGCCATGGGCCCCCCGGTCACTACCGCCTCCTCATGCTTCTGCCAGGTCCAGAGTGTGTCATGGGTCCCTGTACGGCCTCCCATTGCTGCTGTCTCCATCGCCACACTCTGCCATGTGCCACTTTCAGGTCTCCTCACACTGCTGGTGGGTTCCATTTTGTCATAGAGGTGCTGGCAGATTACGGGCCTCCCATTGCTGCTGCCAGGCCCGTAATCTGCCATGGGCCCCCCCTAGTACCGCGCCACTCCTCATGCTGCTGCTGCGCCAGGTCCAGAGTGTCGTCATGGGTCCCCTGTACGCGGCCTCCCATTGCTGCTGTCTCCCATCGCCACACTCTGCCATGTGCCACTTTCAGGTCTCCTCACACTGCTGCTGGGTTCCATTTTGTCATAGGGTGCTGGCAGATTACGGGCCTCCCATTGCTGCTGCCAGGCCCGTAATCTGCCATGGGCCCCCCCTGTACCGCCTCCTCATGCTGCTGCCAGGTCCAGAGTGTGTCATGGGTCCCTGTACGGCCTCCCATTGCTTGCTGTCTCCATCGCCACACTCTGCCATGTGCCACTTTCAGGTCTCCTCACACTGCTGGTGGGTTCCATTTTGTCATAGTGCTAGGGTGCTGGCAGATTACGGGCCTCCCATTGCTGCTGCCAGGCCCGTAATCTGCCATGGGCCCCCTGTACCGCCTCCTCATGCTGCTGCCAGGTCCAGAGTGTGTCATGGGTCCCTGTACGGCGGCCTCCCATTGCTGCTGTCTCCATCGCCACACTCTCTGCCATGTGCCACTTTCAGGTCTCCTCACACTGCTGGTGGGTTCCATTTTTGTCATAGGGTGCTGGCAGATTACGGGCCTCCCATTGCTGCTGCCAGGCCCGTAATCTGCCATGGGCCCCCGTACCGCCTCCTCATGCTGCTGCCAGGTCCAGAGTGTCTCATGGGTCCCTGTACGGCCTCCCATTGCTGCTGTCTCCATCGCCACACTCTGCCATGTGCCACTTTCAGGTCTCCTCACACTGCTGGTGGTTGGTTCCATTTTTGTCATAGGGTGCTGGCAGATTACGGGCCTCCCATTGCTGCTGCCAGGCCCGTAATCTGCCATGGGCCCCCGTACCACCTCCTCATCATGCTGCTGCCAGGCCCAAATCTGTCATGGGTCCCTGTACGGCCTCCCATTGCTGCTGTCTCCATCGCCACACTCTGCCATGTGCCACTTTCAGGTCTCCTCACACTGCTGGTGGGTTCCATTTTGTCATAGGGTGCTGGCAGATTACGGGCCTCCCATTGCTGCTGCCAGGCCCGTAATCTGCCATGGGCCCCCCGTACCGCCTCCTCATGCTGCTGCCAGGTCCAGAGTGTGTCATGGGGTCCCTGTACGGCCTCCCATTGCTGCTGTCTCCATCGCCACACTCTGCCATGTGCCACTTTCAGGTCTCCTCACACTGCTGGTGGGTTTTCCATTTTGTCATAGGGTGCTGGCAGATTACGGGCCTCCCATTGCTGCTGCCAGGCCCGTAATCTGCCATGGGCCCCTGTACCGCCTCCTCATGCTGCTGCCAGGTCCAGAGTCTCTCTCATGGGTCCCTGTACGGCCTCCCATTGCTGCTGTCTCCATCGCCACACTCTGCCATGTGCCACTTTCAGGTCTCCTCACACTGCTGGTGGGTTCCATTTTGTCATAGGGTGCTGGCAGATTACGGGCCTCCCATTGCTGCTGCCAGGCCCGTAATCTGCCATGGGCCCCCGTACCGCCTCCTCATGCTGCTGCCAGGTCCAGAGTGTGTCATGGGTCCCTGTACGGCCTCCCATTGCTGCTGTCTCCATCGCCACACTCTGCCATGTGCCACTTTCAGGTCTCCTCACACTGCTGGTGGGTTCCATTTTTTCATAGGGTGCTGGCAGATTACGGGCCTCCCATTGCTGCTAGGGACCAGGCCCGTAATCTGCCATGGGCCCCCGTAAACCCACCTCCTCATGCTGCTGCCAGCCCATAATCTGTCATGGGTCCCTGTACGGCCTCCCATTGCTGCTGTCTCCATCGCCACACTCTGCCATGTGCCACTTTCAGGTCTCCTCACACTGCTGGTGGGTTCCATTTTGTCATAGGGTGCTGGCAGATTACGGGCCTCCCATTGCTGCTGCCAGGCCCGTAATCTGCCATGGGCCCCCGTACCGCCTCCTCATGCTGCTGCCAGGTCCAGAGTGTCTCATGGGTCCCTGTACGGCCTCCCATTGCTGCTGTCTCCATCGCCACACTGTGCCATGTGCCACTTTCAGGTCTCCTCACACTGCTGGTGGGTTTCCATTTTGTCATAGGGTGCTGGCAGATTACGGGCCTCCCATTGCTGCTGCCCAGGCCCGTAATCTGTCCATGGGCCCCTGTACCGCCTCCTCATGCTGCTGCCAGGTCCAGAGTCTCTCATGGGTCCCTGTACGGCCTCCCATTGCTGCTGTCTCCATCGCCACACTCTGCCATGTGCCACTTTCAGGTCTCCTCACACTGCTGGTGGTTCCATTTTTTGTCATAGGGTGCTGGCAGATTACGGGCCTCCCATTGCTGCTGCCAGGCCCGTAATCTGCCATGGGCCCCCGTACCGCCTCCTCATGCTGCTGCCAGGTCCAGAGTGTGTCATGGGTCCCTGTACGGCCTCCCATTGCTGCTGTCTCCATCGCCACACTCTGCCATGTGCCACTTTCAGGTCTCCTCACACTGCTGGTGGGTTCCATTTTGTCATAGGGTGCTGGCAGATTACGGGCCTCCCATTGCTGCTGCCAGGCCCGTAATCTGCCATGGGCCCCTGTACCCCGCCTCCTCATGCTGCTGCCATGCCCGTAATCTGTCATGGGTCCCTGTACGGCCTCCCATTGCTGCTGTCTCCATCGCCACACTCTGCCATGTGCCACTTTCAGGTCTCCTCACACTGCTGGTGGGTTCCATTTTGTCATAGGGTGCTGGCAGATTACGGGCCTCCCATTGCTGCTGCCATGCCCGTAATCTGCCATGGGCCCCCGTACCGCCTCCTCATGCTGCTGCCAGGTCCAGAGTCTCTCATGGGTCCCTGTACGGCCTCCCATTGCTGCTGTCTCCATCGCCACACTCTGCCATGTGCCACTTTCAGGTCTCCCTCACACTGCTGGTGGGTTCCATTTTGTCATAGGGTGCTGGCAGATTACGGGCCTCCCATTGCTGCTGCCAGGCCCGTAATCTGCCATGGGCCCCCGTACCGACTCCTCATGCTGTGACGTTGCAACAAGGTGGAATTCAACCCTACATATGTTAACCGCCTTTACGAACAGCGAAAGGCCATCACCGATTTCCTGATGTTACAAGCGGATAAAGGTACTCCCCTGTGTAACTTAGATGTCAGCCATTGGCAGCTCATGCGTGACACCTGCCGCTTGCTCAGGCCCTTTGAGGAGGCCACGCTATTCGTGAGTCGGCAGGACTATGGGATGAACGACGTCATTCCTCTGTTGCACGTCCTGGAACAAATGCTGTTAACAATGGCTGGTCAGGGTGCGGTAGACGTGGCGCACAGATCTCAACGCCACATGACCCCTGTGGGGGCAGGACAGGAAGAAGAGGAGGAGGTAGAGGAGGACATTGGTGCTCAGGAATTATTGAGTGAAATGGGTGGTTTTTCCACTCAGCGGACAGGAGTGGAGGAGCAGGAGCATCTGGTAGAGAGGAGGAGGAGACAGAGGACCCAGACGCACCGTGGCAGTATGCTGTGGAGATGGAGGCAGGGAGTCCCTCGCATTCCTTGGCACAAATGGCCCATAGCATGCTCGGTTGCTTGCGTAGCGACAGCCGAATAATAACCATCAGACAGAGGGATGACTTTTGGCTGTCCACCTTGTTGGACCCTCGCTACCGTTCAAAAATGGTGGCCTTTTTCACACCTGCTGAGAGGGAGGCCAAAATAACGTACTATAAAAACCACCTATGTAGTCAGTTGGTCTCTGCCTTTCTGCGCCAACGTCCATCCTCAGACACTGTGGGCCCTGTGCGCTCGCGTTCCGCTGCTATGGCAGCAGGGGAGGGGTGGGGTGGTAGGAGCAGTGGCAGCTCCACCAGCAGCGGCGGCTGCCTCAGTCTGCAGTCGATGATGAGTAGCTTTCTTCACCAGCGCAGTGAGGAAACTACTAACCAGCCGCAGCAGCAGCAGCATCAGGTGGACCTGGAGCAGGACTTCAAACAACAGGCTTGGGCCTACTTGGACAGCACCCTGCCAACCGAGGTCATCGACTATCAAGAGTCCAATGGCAGAGTGGCGGAGCAGAAGCAGCTTCAATTGAAGGCCATACACAGGCCTAGGTTTAAAAGTCCCTCAAAGTTAATTCCAATAACGAACTCTACTCCTCCGTGCAATCTACTTACGAGACCCTGGGCAGGTCTGGGTCCAATTTGTGGTAGAGACTGGTTTTGTTCAGCCATGCTTGAGCGAGTAATAACAGGTCTGTGCTGCCCTTTGGTGTCTGGCTTAATGCGCACAACACACTGAACGTCCCAGCGTTTGTCAACGATTTGCCGTTAAGTGATGCAAACCCGCTGAACCACGTTCACGAGGAGCCGGTACAGGGGGCCATGAATCAGTATGGACCTGGCAGCAGCGTGAGCAGACGACAGAGGCACATGGCGCAGGGTGGCGGTGTAGGCAGCATTATTCTGAAGCCATACACAGGCCTAGGTTAAAAAGCGGAAGCCGTCAGCAGCGTGAGCAGACGACAGAGACACATGGCGCAGGGTGGCGGTGGATGCAGCAGTATTCGGAAGCCAAACACAGGCCTCGGTTTAAAAAGCGGAAGCCGTCAGCAGCGTGAGCAGACGACAGAGGCACATGGCGCAGGTGGCGGTGGAGGCAGCAGCAATGGAAGGCCATACAGCACCCTATCACAAAATGGAACCCACCAACAGTGTAAGGAGACCTGAAAGTGGCACATGGCAGAGTCTGGCGATGAAGTCAGCAGCAATGGGAGGCCATACAGGGACCCATGACACACTCTGGACCTGGCAGCAGCAAGAGGAGGCGGTACAGGGGCCCATGGAAGAGTGGCAAAGCGTAAGCAGCTTAAATTGAAGGCCGTACAGAGGCCTATGTTAAAAAGTCCCCCCAGCAGCAGCGTGGGGAGACGACTATTAGTCGTCTCCCCACGCTGCTGCTGGGGGGACTTTTTAACATAGGCCTCTGTATGGCCTTCAATTTTAGCTGCTTACGCTCCGCCACTCTGCCATGGGCCCCTGTACCGCCTCCTCATGCTGCTGCCAGGCCCGTAATCTGCCATGGGCCCCCGTACCGACTCCTCATGCTGCTGCCAGGCCCGTAATCTGTCATGGGCCCCTGTACCGCCTCCTCATGCTGCTGCCAGGTCCAGAGTGTGTCATGGGTCCCTGTACGGCCTCCCATTGCTGCTGTCTCCATCGCCACACTCTGCCATGTGCCACTTTCAGGTCTCCTCACACTGCTGGTGGGTTCCATTTTGTCATAGGGTGCTGTATGGCCTCCCATTGCTGCTGCCTCTACCGCCACACTGTGGCTCCACACTCTGGTTTTGGCCCCGTGACTGCCCAAATGAGTGAAGTTTGCGGTGATTCTAAGATCGACGGCACTCATCTGCATGTCATACTGACTGACAGTATTATTTCTCTTCCCAGCAGACTCCAAGGGCATTTAAATTAAAGGTACAGTGTTCTGCACTAATATAAAGGCTCTCTGAAGCCTAGAAACACCCTTTTTATAAGTTAAATTCGCGGCGAATATATATTCGGATCGAATCAAATTTTTCCGGCGAATTCGGCGAATCAGCCGAACCGAATTTTTGAATAATTCGCTCATCTCTAGTCAGCACGTATGTACTGTCTTTCTACGTCTTTCGGGACCACCGCTTATATGCAAAGTTGGAGAAGTGCCTCTTCGAGCAAACCCAGGTTCCTTTTTTAGGCCACATAGTTACGGATAAATGGCTGCTTATGTATCGTGCCAAACTCCAGGCCAGCTCCAACTGGCCTTAGCACTCTGGTTTGAAAACCACGCAGCGCATCTTGGAATTCACCAACTTCTATTGCCAGTTCATTCCTGACTATTCCATGGTGGCCCCAATCACTTCTTTGACTCGGAAGGGTTCTAATGCCAGAACCTGGCCTCCTGAGGCAGTTGAGGCATTCCACAACTAAAATCCACCTTCCTATCTGCATCTATTCTCATACGTCTGGACATTTCTTGGAGTTAGATGCTTCATCCTTGTGAGTGGGGATCGTCCTTCTCCAAATGCATGATGGTAAGCTCCGTCCTAGTGCCTTCTTCTGTAAGAAGTTTTTGGATGCCGAAAAGAATTACACACCATCGGTGTTTGGGAACTGCTGGATATAAAGCTGGCACTGCAAGAATGGTGACATCTACTGGAGGGATCTCCACATCGTATCCTGATTTATACTGATCATAAGAACCTCCAGTATCTCCAATCCACCCAGCGTTTGAATCCCAGACAAGCGTGATGGACTCTCTTCTTTGCCAGATTTGACAGTACCTTCAAGCCCAGTTCCAAGAATGCCTGTGCAGATGCCTTGTCCAGATCATTTGACGGAACTGTAACCTATAATTTCTGCCAATCCTGCCAACACTCATCTTGAGCCTAAACGCATCCCATCCGGAAAGACCTTTGTGGTCCCTGCCCTTCGCTCCAAGCTACTCAAATGGGCACACGATTCAAAACTCTCTGGACATCCTGGTGTGCAATGCACCTGTGCCTTCCTGCAGCGTCATTACTGGTGACCCTCACTGTGGAAGGATGTTGAAGAATATGTTCAGGCTTGCTCCATTTGTGTGCAGTCTAAGTCCTCCACGTCTGCCCCAGAAGGTCTTCTTTTACCTGTTCCAGATGAACCTTGGCGTTGCTTTTCCATGGACTTTATTTCTTAACTACCCCCTTCAACAGGTTCCACCATTATCTGGCTGATTGTGGACAGGTTTTCTAAAAAGTGTCACCTAACTCCACTTCCAGGACTACCTACTGCCGTCACGTTGGCTTCCAACTTCATTAAGGAAATCTTGCGTCTTCATGGTATTCCCTCATGCGTCATCTATGATAGAGGTGTTCAAATTACAGCTCGCTTCTTGAGGGCTCTTGCCACATCCTTCGGAATCAAGTTGGACTTCTTCTCAGCCTTTCATCCGCAGTCTAATGGCCAAACTGAAAGGGTCAACCAGAACGTTGAACAGTATATTTGTGCCTTCCATCAGGATGATTGGGTAGACCTTCTACCCTGGGCAGAGTTTGCCCTTAATAACCATGCCAGTGCCAGTACTGGTGAGTCTCCCTTTTTCACTTTGTATGGTCGTCATCCTTCTGTGCCATTTCCTGTTCCCATCTCTTCTGCGGTGCCCGCGGCTGCAGAGACACAACGATCATTCAATTCATTCATCTAGGCAGAGGTTTCCAAGAATTTACGTCTGGCAGCTTCCAAGTACAAAGTAGCTGCAGATCGCCATTGTCATGTGAGTCCCAAATTTCTTCCTGGTGACCAGGTTTGCCTCTCTACCAAGAATATCCGTCTACGAGTACCCTCTATGAAATTTGCTCCTCGTTTCATTGGTCCCTTTACCATCCTCTGCCAGGTCAATCCTGTTGCTTTCAAACTTCGCCTCCCTTCACATCTGAGAATCCCTAATAATTCCATGTTTCTCTTCTGAGACCATACATCAACAGGTTTTCCCGTGCTCATCGTCATCCTCCTTCCCCAATAGTGGGTACTTCGGATCAGTATGAAGTTGAGCAAATCTTGGATTCCAAATTCAGAGGAGGGAAGCTTTCGTATCAACTTGACTGGAAGAGATATCCCTTCCAGTCCATTGGGGAAGGATGACAACGAGGATGGGAAAACCTGGCCATATGGTCCTGATGAGAGATGTTGGATTCCTTCTACTGATGTTTCTGCACCCCATCTGGTGGAATTTTTTCATCAGAAGTTTCCCCTTAAGCCTGGACTTAAACAAGTGGGGAGACCTCATAAGAGGTGGTGGTGGGGGGGGGGGGGGGGTCACAAGTTAGCCTGCAGTTTCTTGTTTGTGTATTCTTACCTCCTTGCTGCAGTACTGTTCCTGATTCCATTCACATGTGTGGTTTGTCTGTGCTCACCTATGGGTGTTGTCTGCTATTCTCTGGGTTTAATTTCCTTCCCTTCCATCACTCCCTGGCCCACCTCCTAGTTTGCTTGTCTATATAAGACATGCTTAGTCCAGCCCACTTTGCCTGTTTTTTGCAAACTCTTGTATCCTGCACCTGACTTCATGTGTACCGACCCCGGCTTTGTTCACTGACTGTGCTTGTTTTCTGCCCATCCTGACCTCGACTTGTCCATTGGATTTCCTGTTGTCTCCTCCCATTGTACTCTGATCATGCGAGCGGTCTCTGCATCCTCAGCTGGGCATACCTGGGGGCCATCCCCACCAACAGGGGCTCTGGTGAAGAAGCAGGCTGGGGCTTAGACTCCGCACCCTGGGGAACCCAAAGTTGGTGATCGACTAGGGCTCACTAACACAGGTTCTTGACACTTGGGGACATCCCGGGGTCTATGAATAATTTGCCTGTGTCCTCTAAGGTACAATTAAAATAAGAGAAGTTTAGGTTTACCTGTAAATTATATATCTTGGACTACAGTACAAGATACAGGCCAACCTCCCTTCCATTCTTGCTACAAAACTGAGGACTCACATCACAGAGTTGGATAGAGTTCTAGGCTAGGTACCCAGGGTGTGTGTCTTTGAAAGCTTTACAAGTGTACAATTGCCTGAAGGTACGAGTCTATAACTCAGGGTCTATGAATACTTTGCCCGTGTCCTGTACTGTACTCCAAGATATGGAATTTACAGATAAGTCAGAATTCCTCTTACATACCCCTCATCTTCCTCAAACCCCACACCAAGCACAAATTCTTGCCATCTCCTTGCCCTTCTAGTACAAATGCTCTTCCCTCCAAATTCCCCCCAGCACAGATTTTCTTATTACCCTCAAAACATGGCCTCCCACCACAGATCTCAGATACAGCATGGGTCAATGCTGGGGGATGTCTTTCCTCCCAGGCACCACCTCAACCTCTGTCATAAGACACATCAGAGCCAAGGCATTGATTGGGTGAAGCTTCCCTAAGCTCTGACATTTACATCACTGTTCCAACAGGCAGCTGGTGGGGAAAGATGCTGGCTGCAGCAGTGTCAGCGATTACAGCAGTGGCTACCTGGGGCACCCCGCATGTGGAACATGTGCTCTGGGTGCCTGGCACCACTGGTGCCCCCCCCCCTACATTAAAACACTGTGCTCACAGCACATGCCCCTTCAACAACCCTGTTGTGCTCTTTGCTTTTCCTAGCGTCTACCCACCTAAAACCGTTATTCCCAATAGTAAAGGATTTATTTGTCTCCAGTAAATGCTGGGAGAAAAAAAGATTTGCCTGGAGGCTTTAAGTTTATAGTTTTTACTTGTTCTTTGACCCAACTACATGGTCATGTAATCTTGTTTAGTTACATTCCTGATATTTCTGTATATAATTTGTTAAGGGAAGGGCTAGGTATTGAGTAGAGTATGTGTTTGTACCTGATTTTCTTGTTTTTAGCACCGTGGACTAAACATTAATTGGGCAGAACTGCTAAAAATGAAAAGTTATTCAACATAACTGTATTACATAACAATGTATTAATTGAATGCCTTATGATAATTTATATATTGTACAGTTGTGCTCAAAAGCTGCATACCTTGGCAAAAATGTGAGATTATGGAATCAATACTGAAAATATGACTGATCATGCATAAAAACTCTCTTTTATTTAAGGAAAGTGATCTTATGAAGTTATTTATGATCGCATAATTGTTTGGCTCCTTTTTAAATCATAATGATAACCAAAATGACCCAAATGGAATTCATCAAACATTTACATACCCTGGAATGTTTGGCCTTGATACAGACACACAAGGTGACACACACAGGTTAAAATGGCAATTAAAGGTTAATTTCCCACATCTGTGGCTTTTAAAATGGCAAAAAGTGTGTCTAAATAGTCAATCAGTTTGTTGGCTATCATATGGATGCACTGAGTAGGCTAGATACTAGGCCATGGAGCAGAAAAGAACTGCCAAAAGA